TCACCAATGAGTTGTGGCCAAAAATCTTTACAAATCTGTAAGTTTAGATTATCAGACTGCTGGTCTTTGCATTATAATAATTAGATATAAATGGAATATCTGAGGAGGTAAGCCAGTATACTTTCCATTTGCACCCTTTCATTAAATGGAACTACTAGGCCTTCTGAGGAGTGGGGTGATGTTGAGTGGTGATCGGTGACAGTAAAACAGTGTGACAATAACTCTCTGGGCCATTAAACTACAGGTATGGGCTGTCTTCAAGCCTGCCAAGAAATAAGCATGTAGGAAATTTTGTTGAAAACTAACTCATCTTTGAGACACTTTGCAACTCTAAAGATTATTAAAAGTATGTGCTTTTGTTGGCTAGAAATTCAGATATGGTTTGTGTGTGCGGCTCTATGCTCTGTAAATGTTTGTATACCCAGCACTGTATGTCTGTATACAGAAAGCACCATGGACACTATGGGAATCACACTTCTGCACTCTCTGCTTTTTGATATAGATGCAATGTATGAAGGGCTACTAACGGCTAGAGCGGGAAGAGGGGTAAACACAAAACTTAGAAAGGATGAGTAAATGGTGCTAAATGCACTAGCATGTTTTCGTCAGACCTGCTCAAGACATGCAAGGTAACAGCTAGGCTGAAATAAGTGCTTACAGTGGACTGACAACTAAGCCTGCAAGACCAGTCCCAGAGAGAAGCAGAGTTTAAGGGTCCCCAGTCTGATGGCACATAACCCTGCCTTTGTGCTGTATTTAAGTATTTAAGGATGGGACTAACATTTCTTTTTTTTTAATTTTATTTTATTTTACAATACAATTCAGTTCTACATATCAGCTACGGATTCCCTTGTTCTCCCCCCTCCCCCCCCCCTCCCCTTCTCCCCAGCCCACCCCCCATTCCCACCTCCTCCAGGGCAAAGCTTCCCCCAAAGACTGAGATCAACCTGGTAGACTCAGTCCAGGCAGATCCAGTCCCCTCCTCCCAGGCCGAGCCAAGCGACCCTGCATAAGCCCCAGGTTTCAAACAGCCAACTCATGCAATGAGTACAGGACCTAGTCCCACTGCCTGGATGCCTCCCAAACAGATCAAGCCAATCAACTGTCTCACCCATTCAGAGCGCCTGATCCAGTTGGGGGCCCCTCAGCCGGCAACTTTTATAGCACGGTTTGCCCATCGGTTTGCGTCGGGACTAATATTTCTAATCGGCTTAATGGATTACACCTAGAACTCCATCAACATTATAAACAGATTATAATTAGATCCAAATCTAGATACTTTAGATAAAAGAGAAGGTTTGAGATAATCAGATTTAGACAAGATTTGGGATTAAGTTGATGGTATAGTGAACTGGGATCCTTGGGGACCTCTTAGGTACTAACTGCCTTTTTCAAGTACGAGGAATGTGAGTCATGAGGGCTAGAAGGGGGAACTTGGGCAGTTTTGCCTCCCATGGCAGTTGTCACCTGGGGTCACACCTGTGTTTGTTGCCCAGTGTGACAGAAGAACTTTACTCATGTAAGCAAAGCTGACTTCAGTGTCAGAGGACATTCTTAGATGATCTGCGTGGTCCCAGTATAATCATGTGAACTCCTAAAAGCAGAAGTAGAGGACAGAAGGAGAAGTCAGAGAGATTCAGTATATGAGGATTTGATGTACTTGTGTTGACTGTGGCAGGGATCAGAACCCAAGAGCACAGGCAGTGAATGAGCACTCCATTAGTGGGAGTGAGCAGCCTTCAGCAGCCACCAGAGGGTTCTGCAGCCTCCAGGGTGTGCATTCTACCAGCAACCCAAATAACCAGAAAATGTTTCCCAGGACTCCTCACTGAGGGTGTCACAGTATGCCACCTTCCCAGACCCTCAGCAGGGGCTCCAGGGGAGCCCATTCCAGAATTCTGACCAGGAGAATTATAAGCAAATCGACAAATGGCATTTGAATATTCCAAATTGGTCATGATTTCCTATGATAGGAACAGGAAACTGATGATGTCACATTGTAAACATGTAAATAATGAACTAGAAAGATAGTGAGTAGGTCTTGCTGTCTCACACCCACTTCTTGTGAAGAAGGAGAACAGATAACCCAGGCATTCAAACAGTGAATCCCAGATCCTTCTAACAGAAGTGTCGATACTGTTAGCCTCTCATGTTTACCTCACATCACATAACAGACATAACTTCCTGAAGGAACGAGTCCTTGAACTTTCTCATTGGCCCCTTCCCAAATCTTTATTCTCTCTTTCTTTCTTGATGGTGTGGAAGGTCGAGAGGGATGTCCACACTCTTGGTTCTTCTTAAAAGTCCATCAACTCCGTATGATGTGCATACGCACACTCAGCCATCCAGTCCTTCCTTCTTACAGGGATGAACATGACTGATCCCTGCTGTTTGCATTTGCAGGCCATCCTCTGCCTCCTTGGCTCCCTCTGTGGCCTGGCCTTTCTGGGAGGTGACCCAGTTCCAGCAGTAGGCTCAGCTTCTTCTACTCTCGAGCTGAGCTGTCTTTCTGAGTCTCATCTTTGCTTACATAGGAGCTGCAAAAGAGGGAAACGAGACTAGGAATGTGGCGTAGATGTAGAGTGCTTACCCAGCAGCCTTTGGAAGTGCATTGTCCTGGGACTAGCAGGATTCCTCTTAAACCCTTAAGGTCAAGATGTATGAGCGACTCCCCATCTCTTCCTCTTACGTCTTTCTAACAGCTCTCTGAATGTTAGGTGTCTCGATGGACCTGTTAAAGTTTATTACTCCCAGCTAAATTACATCTGCGGTGACCATTTTCATCTAAGGTGTGAGTTAAGTCACTAAAAACTCAGTTTATTTCTCCATTTTATCCCATTTTTGGTGGTCTTATGGGAAATAGTCTACCTTTGGAGAAAATGAATCTTCTTTTTGGTTTTATTAAAAAAATCGAGTTTCATAGAAAAACCACATAGAGTTGTGAATATTTCCAGACTGTAAGTTATAAAGCACATAAATGTTAGTGGCTGGTTGGTTTAGGATTCACTTAATAGCTGTGGGCATCAGTATATTGAGAAAGTTCTACACTAGAATTGTGGCTGGCTGACATTTCCTTTTTTTTTTTTTTTAATAACTTGTTGGATAGGTAGACTGGAGTTTTCTGTTTTGTTTTTAAACTAGAGCTCATGTATTCAGACACAGTGCCAAAAAAAGAAAATTCTCATTTTACTTCTAGTTTTATAAAACAAGAAAGCTGATGCAACCAAAAAAGAAAGTGGAAGCCAGGCAAGTTGATTCTAAACAAGTGAGTAACCAAGAGACGAAGAAATGGCTCAGTGGTTAGGAACCCTGGAGTTCAGCGCTCACATCACGTGGCTCACAATCATCTATAATTTCAGCTCCAGGGGATCTGACACCCTCTTCTGGCCTTTGTAGGTACACACACACACACACACACACACACACACACACACACACACACACAGAGAGAGAGAGAGAGAGAGAGAGAGAGAGAGAGAGACATATACACACTAAATAAATAAATGAATAAATAAATATTAAAATAAAGTAAATCTTAAAAAGGGGTTAAAGTGTAATGGGGCAAGAGAAAGAGCCATTAATGCCATTTTATATTTTGTTTATTATTCCTCATAACATTTTGCTCTGCTTTGTGTATAGGATCAGGGAATATTGTTGAATAGAAGAGTAGAACAGTATTTAGGAAAGCTTTGTGATTCCAAAACTACGTAGCTGAAGTTAGCTGTTGAGAAGCAATCTGCAAACACTCCCTTCTCCTCTTAGTTGAGTTTCAATTCTTTCCCCAGTTTCTGTGTCACGTGCAATTATTAGTTGACTCTAAGAATCCCGAAAATAATCCAATAAGCACTGTGTAGGACTTTTGCTTGAGGTCCTATATGCTTTATTAGGACCAGTCTGAGTGAGTGAACTCTTATGTTCCCTCATTTTGACAGGGAATGTTGAATGCTGTTTTTAGACAGTGTTAGGACTGGGAGAGCTTGCTTTAGTCATCTGACTGTCTAGGGAGAAATGACTGGGAGGAAGACGGAGCCTAAGAAGAAACCACTGGTGGGTGGGTATAAAGCCAGAGGGCTAAGGTAGACCAGTAGATTGTGTAGTGAAACTCTGGAATTGCATCAGTGAGAAACATTTGAGGAAATTATATTTCACATAGATATTTCTTAGCCCCTGAATTCCTGTGAAAATTCTCTGATATGGATTATTTCATCTTTTTGGCTCTTTGAGCTAAATAACAGAAGAGGCAAACTGAAAATTAAATCATTTTTCATACAGAACCTTTCTGTAATATGATGCCTTTTCAGGAGCTTCCCCCGCCCCCTGCCCTTCCCTCCCTCTCTCTCCAACTCTTTGTCTCCCTCCCCACCTCCTTCTCTCCCTCCCTACCTTTTAAACTCTCGTTCACTTCCATTTCTTCCAAGGCTTATCACACATAAGGGAGTGGGTTTGGAGTGTTTTCAAAATGTGAAAACAAATTTCTATTAATGCTTCTTCAAATCCATCCTGTTTAACTGCATTTTGAAGCTTTACACATAGTTTACAGAAGCCACACCGTCATAGACGACAGTGAGAATAATCACATCCCCAGATCTCTTTCTTTCTTTCTTTCTTGTCCATCCTTGTCCCAAATCCCTCTGATTCAAAACAAGTTAAAAAGAAAAGTCTCTAGTTTTAATGTTTGTGAGTGCACCTTGGGGAGCTTGTCAAACCATTTCTGGACCTCATACTCAGACAGGGGTAGGTGGGACCTAAAGAGCAGCATTACACATACACTCCCAATTCGCACCGGTGCTACTGGCTTGAGCTGACCTTCTTAGCACCAGATAGCTAGCTACACCTGTGTCACTGGGAACTGGAGCAACTGGCCTGGAACTGAGGGGATCCATCATAATAGCAGAGTTGGATCTAGTGGGTTTTCAGAGTAGAGGCCAGATGTGAAGAAAATAGAGCTGATCTTTCATAAGGGTCCTGTGTATAACAAAACTGCCTCTCCTCTTTTACAGAAGCAAATCCAGAGAAATTCAATAGTCGTTTTCGAAATAAAATGTTCTATGCAGGCGTAAGTATACATTTCATTTTATAATCATTAATATTATTTAATGCCAATTCACTGAATACCAAAGAAACTAAGCACATCAAAATTAGCAATGGTAGACACTTCCATTTATGTTAATATATAGTTATTCTTTATAACCTTCACCAGGGAATGGAAGAGAGAGAATGTTTTTTAAATGAGTGGTCAGCAAAGGGGGTGGTGTTGACCATGATTGAATTTTAAGCTGCTAAGATGCTACGAAAGTCAGTGACTTTTAGGGAGCAATATCAAACAGATATCAATGAAGAGATTGGGAAAAATAGATAGAAAAAAAAACATAGCATTTTAGTTTGTTTCCTGTTTCTGAAATAATATATCTGGACAGAAAGCAATTTAAAGGAGAAAGTATTCATTTGACTTACAATTCTAGGTTACATTCTGTTACTGGGGGAGGTCAAGGTGGCAAGAAGTTGAAGCAGCTGGTCACCACACATCCACAATCAAGAGCAGAGAGCAAGGAATGAGTGCACACACACACACACACACACACACACACACACACACACACACACACACTTACACTGATTCTCCACCCCTTTACAATCCAGGATTCTCTGCCCAGGGAAAGGTGCCACCCACACTGAGCCTGTCTTTCCACCAATCAAGACAACCCCTCACACCCCCAGCCATGAGTGCACAGGCCAACTTCTTAATCTAGACAATCCCTCACTGAAATTCCTCTCCCAGACGGCAGGGGTGGGGTGGGGTTTCTTTACTCTTCAGGGACATTCCTAGGAGTGAGTAGAGATGAAAACAGAAGACACTGAATGTATCAATAAGGTGCAGCTTCAATGGATAGCACTGGGTAGGAGTTAAAATGCAAGGGGCAGTGTAGAGCATTCTTGGAGGAGGTTAAAGGTGATCTTAGCGTTGGATTCCCAGTGACTCTGGGTACCACCCACTTTTTCTGTATCCTCCTATAATCTTAAATTTTATTATAGATTATGGTCTGAAAACACAGAATTCCACAGACACTACCCTATTTTACCTTGGGTTAAACCAAAGGAGAATTTGTTATATATATTTTTCATAGCGTGGAATCTTGGGGAACACTCTATCATATTAAAGCAAGATTTGGTGGAAACCATGTAACAAAGACTTCTTTTCTCCCTTGTGGTGTAGGCAGCCTTTTCTGATTTCCTACAGAGAAGTTCTAGAGATCTATCCAAACACGTCAAAGTTGTCGTGAGTATTGACTGTATATGTTCATTTAATTTGCATGTGAATATGGGTGGTACCCCCCCATGCCAGCTGATGTGCATATTAATCCCTGGGCTGCAAATAGTTTACAAATCATGTAGGGGAGCTCATTTGACCATTTATATGTATTCTCACCATGTATCAGTCTCTCTCTTAGTTGCTAGAGTGAAATAAAGACTTTTTTTTACTCCTGAGGAAATCTTGGAGTATAATACATTATCACTGGAGACTCATAGGCCCTTATTCGATCATAATACAGAACACTGGACAATCATAGACATTTGACATGAGGGCACAATATTCAACCCACTCACACACATACAAACACATTCTGACCAGGAATCTCTGCTTCATCTTTCAGTTTCAATTGTAATCCTACTTAGAATAGGATTCAGAAAATCTTCCCAGAAGAAAAGCCATGAGCTGGCTCTTCCAGTATAAACAAATGCTTAGCCAATAATTGTTCCAGATCTTTCTGAGGAGTCTCCATTTTAGAACAAACAATGATTTTAGCCTGACTTTGCTCTCCAGCCTGGTCAAGGTTCCTCACACTGAGTGGATGTTTCCTGCTATTTCTTTTTAAGTCTCTAGCCCAGGTTATGTCTCCATTGGAGGCAAAAGAGATATGAAATTATCTTTGTCTAGGTGGTACATTCTGATATATCATAAATCAGTTAAGAAAAACAAACTGTTTCTTGTAATAACTAAGATTATGAAGAGATGAATATAGTTTTGATTTGCATGGTTGTAAGGATGAAAATGAGGCTGGATGATAAAAAAAATACATCTATGGAGAAATATGGCAGGGACTCCATCTATCACCGGGCAGGTAATGAAACAGAACATGTGTGTGTTCCTGCATGTGTATGTGTACATATATATGAAAATAAATATATGATACTAGGCTATTGAGATTTAGACAATTGGTAGAGGAGAATGAGACAGTTAAAATGAAAAGCAGTTTTTAGCATTTAAGTGGCAGTCCTGTTCATGATATCCACATTTATGTTTACAAAATGAGATATATATGCTTCTAGATGGTTCTTCGTAGTTTGTTGAGACAGTGCCTCTTGTAGCTCATTCTATCCTCCAACTTGCTATTTAGCTAAAATGGCCTTGAACTTCTGATCTGTTTCTCCACTTCCTATGTATTGAGATTACAGGCATGCACTGCCAAGTCCAGCAAACGTTTAAATAACATGCTAGCTGCTTCTTTATTAAATAAAAAAGAGAAATGATCACTGAAAATAAAACAACTAAGGATTGTAATAGGATGATATTTTGTGGGGCACTGATGATGTTTCCAATGTTAATAAACTAGTATATACAGTGCTCATGTAGTAGAAGTGACTTACTCTTTCTTATAGGATGCAAGGTTTGTTTTCAGAATGCTAGGCTAGGCACAGTGGCTTCTGTCAGTTGTCCCAACTATTTGGAAGGCTGAGCTGGAAGGGATGTAAATTCAAGGCCAGCAGCCAGCCTGGACAGCTTGGTTAGAACCTGTCTCAAAAGAGGAGGAAAAGGGGGAAAATTGCAGAAACCTGATAGGCAAACATTTGCAAAACTGCTGTTGCTGCTGTATCAGCATTAATACGAGCCCTGCTTTGAAACTCTTAGGAATTTTTACTGTAGAGTTTCTAAGTCTTTGCATTGTAACTGTATGAGTACATTGTATGATTTCAATTGCTTATCATAACGCGAAGTCTGTAACCTCTAGCAAAATATGCTTGGAAGACGAATCCCTTAAATCAGCCAAGACAAGGGTTAAGTATTGCTGGTGTTAGCTAACTTGGGCATCCCTTCAGCGCATTTCAGCTCCTCTACAATGCAGTGTTGTTCGTGGTCCTGGAGTGAGGCACAGCCTCATGGTGGAAGAGATCAGAGTGAGGGGAGCAGAACTGCTCATGTGGATGGGATTTGGGGTGGGGGGAGCAGAGCTGCTCACCTCATGGTGGTGAGAAGGGAGGATGGGTAGAAGAAGAAGGAAAGGAAAAGAGAGGAGGGAGAAGAAGGATAGAGAGATGCTGACTGATGAATGACTGACCAGGACATGATGCACCTATCAAGGCAAGCCCTGAGTGAACTACTTCTACCAAGTAGGCCCCACCCCCAATACCTCATTCAGTGTGAACGAACGCAGCAGCATGCTCATGACCCAGTCACATCTCAATGGTGCCACCAGCTCTAACGCATGAGCCTTTTTGAGGGATACTTCACAGCCTTACTATATCAGATGTATAGAAAACAGACCATCTTATCTTTGTCACAGGTGAAGCCAGTGTCTTGGATGTAATATGGAAGTCAGGTGGTTATAATTCTAGACCAAGAAAGCACCAAGCACTTAGAAAACATTACATATAACACCATTTATTGTCCGTTGTTTGATTTATCAACACATGAGAATAGATACAGAACCATATTTTGCAAGCAGATGTCTTCCCTTCTGTGTGTTTAAATTAGGGAAAACACTGATTACTGATGTTCTAGAGAACTGTACATTTTCATACATAAATATGTAAAAATAGTAAAATATTACATGTTGTATGGTATACATCTTTAAATAATTTGATAAGCTCTCACTGACATATTTCCCAGGAGGAAGGCTAGAACATTTAAAAATGAGTTTGGGTCCAAGTTCAGTAGTATTTACTATAGTATTTTTTTCTGTAATATATGTAACAGCAGAGTATAGCACCCTATATTTTGAATGTAAGGCTTTTGTTGTTGTTGTTTACACTCTTGAACTTTTATCATTTAAATAAAATTGCTCTGCTTTCTTCATGGGCATAGTCATCTATAGATCTGCTTGAAGCCCTTAAATGATTTGGAAGATTTTAGGTTATTGGGGGTACTCTAAAACATCTTTGGTCACTATCTAGAACTTTATTTCATTCTAAATTACTGTTGGAAATATTTAATTTAGGGCCATATGATTTCCCAGAAATTGTTTTTGACACCATTTATGAACATTGGAGTGTGCTCAGATCAGGTGGGAGGAGGATGTGGCGCTTCAAAGCAACCTAGACTGCTTGCAAAATCGTTATGCTTAGACTGAACCTCTGCTCCACGAATCTTTATCAGAGTGTGGTGAGCTGTGGAATGCTTTAGTCCCCCTTCCCAAAGAAAGTAAACCAATGGAATTCTGGGACACGGGGGTTGAGTGGGGAGGAAGCCAGCTGAAAAGACGGCTTTCCTTGGTGGTACTGCATCCTTGACTCTGATTAGCCCTCTCTTCTGGACCTTGTCTCCTGTGGAGATGGAGAAAGGGGAATGGAGACATTTTTGAGACTGGCTGGAGGACAGAACTCCTGGGGGAAAATACCAGGTGATCAAGGAAGCTGTGGACAAGGCTACTGAGGCCAATAATCAAGGGGCCCTTGAGACCAAGGTCATGTCCAAACTCCAACAGTTTAATTTCAGAAGTGCCCTCCAGTTCGGTAAGAGAGTAGACTTGTGAGAGCAAATCACTTGACGCTGTTTTGTCTTCTTGACCCACTGTTAATACACACAGTCACATCTGTACAGGAGCTTAGGAACTCCTGCATCTGGGACACAGGCTTCACCCTGGAGCAAACAGAAGTGGATCTGGGACAAGGGATACCGATTTAGAACAGACTTCTGGAAATCTTTCAGATAATGTATTCACAACATGTTTCCCCGTTTCAAAATAAACATTATCTCAGGCAGGAAAGAAAACAAATGGCCACGTTCATGCTGTGTTTGGATCAATTGATTACAGTGGGAATGCTGCTGGCTTCACTGGACATTTCATCTTTGAAGTGTGTGTAGTCTTTAAATGTTAGCACTGTCTGTCTAAATGTCTAATAATAATAGTTCCAGGCCATGGGTGGCAGTGTCTGCTTTGAATATTGGAACAGCAAAAAATTGTTCTGGTCAAATGGAAGTTTTATTTTATATAAAATCAGATCAAAACCCAACTGAATCCCTGGTTCTGCTAGTTAGACTTAGCATAAATTTCAGTCCTAGTAGCAGGCATTCCCTCGGGGGCAAGGAGAAGAATTCCATGCTCTATGCTGTTGTCAACCCAGTTTTCTTGGATGAGGCTCTCAGACTCATGACTACTTCAGAAGCCCTGCTTTCTCTGCTTTGGTTGCTGCAGTGTGATGGGACAGATCTCACCCCAAAGATCCAGGACCTGAAGTTCCAGTGTATAGTATTTTTAAATATACCCAGGTAAGCTCTTTTCATACCTGTGCCTTTGTTTGATGGAAACTCTGTTTGACCTGGGGCATCAGATTTCATAAGTCAGACATCCAGCCCATGAAATCCCTAATTTTAATGTGCTGTCAAAGGTCCCATGTCTGCTGATTTTCTTCTGCTTGACTTGTTCCCTGTGGAAGGAGGTTTTGCCCATGATGTAGAATTCATTATTGATATTCTCCCAACCTTGAGAGACTCAGGCACTTTTCTAGAACATTGTCATTTGGTTCTCATAACTGCCCCACACCCACCCCACAGCCTCCAGGAAGGCAGATGGGAATAGAACCCTGCTTTCATAGTCTCTCCAAAGCTGTTAGGAATGTATCCAGCCAGATGAGTATGGATTTCTCTGCCAGATGCTAGAATCCATCAGAGAGGCATGTTACAGACAGGGTTTAAATGCTCTTTAGAACTATTAAGCACCATGAGAAAGGAACACTTAGGACTGACTATTTTTAAAAGAAGCATATTACTTCAGTGGCATACAATTCGATTCTAGGTTCCCAAGCCAAGATGTTGGAAGGCACAGGCCTATCACCCTTCAGTATTTGCTACCAACTCAGACATCAATCTGCAGATATGCTGACCTTTGCTGAATTCAAGGACAATAAGAGATCTATAGAAATTTATGTCTAGGAAAACCTATCAAGGTCTCCAGGTCACTCCTGGCAGTACTCAGTTCCAAGCCTGTTTAGGAGCATGGGTCTGTGTGGGTTTAGTAGAAGGCTTACAGATTTGGAGGAAATATTAGCTGGTAATGCCTCCTATCATATTTTCCTTTTTACTCCTGACCCTCCCCTCTTATGTGTCTGCTTCTCCTATTTTACAGTTTTATTTACTTTTTCCCTTCCTCGCCTCACCCTTCTCATCTCCTCTTCCTCTTTCCCTCCATTCCTTTTGAGAGAGGATCTCTCTAGACAGTTCACAGTCCTTCTCCCTTAGCCTCTCGTGTGCTGTAAGAGCAGGCATACACCACCATGCCTAGCATATTTTATTTCTTATCTTTTATTTACTTATTTAAAGTAATTTTCATTTATTCTTTTCCTGTGGGAATTTCTTGTCTTAATTTTATATGTAGTGGTAAATGCTACTTAGTCCATGTCCTCTTTTATATTAGCATGAATTTTTCTTCATTTAAGACTATTATTAAATTATTAAAGATAACTCATGATGTAGAAAACATGAACCCTCGAGTGCGAAATGTTGGCAAATAATGATGAAAGGGAAAGATGGATGCAATAGGATGCTTTTTTTGTAAAATTGTGGCTTATTTTTGCAAGGTTATGGTATTTTGGAGATAAGATCATTTTTTTCATAATTGAAGGTATGCGTCAAGAACAGCAAACTGTTCTTATATTTAATAAACATTGAGCTTCACAAGAAAGGATTTTTAAAAGTTTATTTATAAACTGACCCAGAATCCTAATCCTCCTGTGTGGTCATGAGCATACTGTGTGAGAGCTTGGTGCATGTATACCTTAACTCCTAGAGCTGATCAGGAGGAGGATGAGGACTCTTTAACTGATGCTGACCTTGTCTGCAGATATTGTGCTGGCACAATGCCTTGGGGAAACCCTGGAGATCACCATGATTTTGAACCCCAGCGTCACGATGACGGCTACATTGAAGTCATCGGATTCACCATGGCCTCTTTGGTGAGAAATTTCTCAGTTTTACTGAAAACCCTTATGTGTAAGCTACAAATATATTGTAACTGCTCACAAATGAAAAATTGGTTTTCTCCAATGGCGTCTCACTGCCTGTACAGACCACACTCGAGGGCAGGCCTCATGCCCAGCAGTAGATGGCCAACACAAAACCGAATCAATAGTACTTGAAGGGTTTTTTTGTTTTATAATACTTTGAGCTTTTTTTTTAACCTTACAGTTCTTTTCTTATATATTATGGTTTCTGGTTTTGTGTTTTTATGGGATTTCTCTGTATACAAATGTGTGTATCTCTGCATCTGTATTTGTTTCTTGTGTTTTTCTTTGGCTTTTTTTTTAAATGTTTTTTTTTTAATTTTTTTATTATTATTATTTTTTTTTTTTTTGGTTTTTTTCGAGACAGGGTTTCTCTGTGTAGCTTTGCGCCTTTCCTGGGACTCACTTGATAGTCCAGGCTGGCCTCGAACTCACAGAGATCCACCTGGCTCTGCCTCCCGAGTGCTGGGATTAAAGGCGTGCGCCACCACCGCCCGGCTCTGTTTTACTTTCTAGAGATTATGACATTTTGTGCTTATGAAGCTATTACACATTAGTTATTTACATCCAATTTTATCTTGTTTATTTAGTAGATGAGTGTATGGATTACCACAAAATACTTACAGACAAGAAAGACACCATTAAAATCACCTTAGTACTCTTCAGTTGCTACAGTATCCACATCTCTTCATATTTCAATATTGTATATTTATGTTAAAAACTGGATTTATAGTGTAAGTCCATCCAAACAGTTCAACTTATTCAATTAGGGTTGACCAATTAAGAATTATAAAAACAACTTATTTTATGTTGTATTACATAAATTATTATATAAACTCATAGTTTGTACAGCAAATCAAAATAAAGCCCCCACTGGTAACTTTGGGATGGCAGGGCTTGTGCTAGCCCCTATCTGTGAAAGATCAGAAGGTTGCATTCTGCTTTCATAAACAAAAACACAGCTGTCTTAATTTCTTTTCCCACTGCTGGGATAAACCCCTCTGGCAGAAGGGACTCTAGGGAAAAGTGTTTGCTTTGGCTTATAGTTCAAGGGTAAAGTCCATCATGGCAGAGAAGCAACGGCGGTAGAACCTTGATGCTTGTGGTCACAGTGCATCCACAATAAGGAAGCAGCGGGCAGTAAATGCATGCTGTTACTCAACCCCTTTCCCTACTTTGTGTTGCCCAGGATCCCAGCCAAGGAATGGTGCCCCTGGTTATAGATGGGTCTTCCTACCTCAATTAATGTAATCACAAGATAGCTACCCAAGAGGAATGCCCAGAAATATGTCTCCCAGGTGGTTATAGATTGTCAACTTGACAATTAATATAGATCTCACTTTACTCATCTTGTGAATGACAACGGTTTCTTCCTCGATAACCTCAAATTAAAGTACTTTAGCACAATAACCTATTGTGACTATATGGCAAGAATCTGTCATTTCAGTTGATAATGTCCCTAAAGGTGAGACTGACCTTTTCATTAGCATTTGAAAGGGAAGATATCAGGGCAGGCAAGCTGAAAATTCAGCTTCTGAGAAGGAGGGAGTTGGATAAAAGGAAGAAAGTATGCTGTGGATTTACTTTTGAGAGATGGTGTTCATAGAATGCTCTTTATCACCAAGGCTTTCTAAGCTAATAAAAAGGACAAAACAGTATTAAATTCAGAAAGTATGTGTATGACATTTTTACCCTTGCACAGGAAACAGAGAGAGGAAACGGGAAGCAAGACAGTGATACAAACTCTCAAGGCCCGCCCCCAGTGACATACTTCCACCAGCAAACTGTGTTTTCTTAGGATTCCATAAACCCCTCACACAGTTCCACCAACTGAGGACCAAGTCCTAGAATCCTTGAATCTCTGGGGCACATTTAAACCACCACACCTGGCCTCTAGAGTCGGGGATTTCTCTTTGATTCTCCAGCACTGTCCCCTTCCTTGCTTGCTTCCTGGCTCAAGAACTCTGCAGTAAAGCAGAGCTTTGAGCATCCTTTGCCTCTTTTGCAACACTAAGCCGTTGCATGTGTGGACTTTCTTTCCAGTGTCCCATGGTTAGTTTTCTTCTGCTTTATCTGCATCAGGATCTTAATATAGTCTTTTCTTCTTCTTTTTTTTTTGGTGGTTTTGTTTATGATTGTATAATTAATTAATATCTGAATAGGAGAGATGCAGCAGATAGAAACTGAGTAGTTAACTGGGAGTTTAATGGTGGGACTCTGTACTCATGTTACCTTGGTTTACCCTCAGGTGAAGATGCAATGTCAAATAAGCATCGTTTATAACACAGGGTACCAAGGAAGGGGAAGTCTTGTAGATACCAACTTGCCAAGTAGGTAGGAAAAGGGCTGTATTATAAAGACAACCCCTGTGTCACAGTCACTGTATTGTCCCCAGTGGTTCTCTCTGGAAGTAGAAGATAGGGGAGCCACAGAAATAATCCAGATGTATCAGCTTGATAGGGCAGAAGGAAGAGTAGGGAGAATAGAGGGTGGATTTCCACCCCTACAGTTTACCAGGTCTAACCTGTGTGTGTCAAAGCACTGCATACCTCCCGCTGTTTAAATACAGCTGATCGAATGAATGGGATTCAGTACTCAGGAAAAAGAGGAATTTATAAACACATGAAAATGTGAGAAACCATAGTTGTCAGTGGGGAAATGGTTTAATGGTGCATAAATATAGATGAGCAGTTAGGGGGCAACAGATGAAACAGAAGGAAAGGGCCAGAACAGAGGATGCTCTGGAGAATTGATCTGGGTTTTCATTCTATTCAGTGTCTCTGAGGACTTATTCAAATGTTATTTTTAAATTTATTTATTTTTAAACTGTGTGTGTGTGTATCTGTGTGTGTTAGTGTGTGTCTTGTGTGTCTGTGTGTGTGTGTTTGTGTGTCTGTGTGTGTATGAGTGTTCACATGTGTGGGTTTACATTTGTATATGACTATGTGGAATGCAGAGGTTGACCTTGGATGTCTTTCTCACTTGCTCTCCACTTTGTTTCCTGAGGCAGAGTCTCTTGCTGACTCATGAGTTTCTTGATTTGGCTACTCTAGATAACCAGCTCATTCTGAAGAGTCCCCTGTCTCCTGAGCAATGGATCACCAATAGGCTACTGCACCTGCCCCAGCATATAATATGGGTGCTGGGATCTGATCTCTGGCCTTTAGACTTGCATAGCAAACTGTTTGTCTCTGAGCCATCTACCAGACTCTCAAATGTTCTTCAAATAAATATTTTAATAAGGATGTTAAGTTTAAAGTAGACAAAATAGGTATTGGAGATATGCCTTGGAGGTTAAGATCATGTGTTGCTCTTATAGAGGACTCAAGATCAGTTCCCAGCATCCACATAAACTCTAGCTCCCGGAGGATCTGACGCTTCTTACCTCTGTAGGTACCTGCACTCACATGCTCATATCCCCACATAGACAAACAGGCATATACATAATAAAAATAAACTAAAAAGCAGGCAGAATAATAGGGCAAAGCCCCAAGTATCACAGCACTCAGCCTTTATATTTGCTACTCATACACAATTTTAAGTCCTTCTCCCTAGTTTTAATTTGGAATGAACTTCACATTATGTTATTTAACCCACAAACATCTCAGAATGTTTTCTGACAATGTAGTTTAATAAATGAAAGCCATACTAATATTATGTGAAAATCAGTATATCCAGGTAAGACCAACTATCTGCCTGGTGCTCAGCGTTTCTGGTTCTCAAGCAGTATTTACCTTCTTATGACCAGTTGACAAGTTTACCAGGTCTCTGTAGTTCTGTCTTAACTCTTATTATAGCTCATTTATTTATTGATCAAACCAGGTCAGTGTTTTGTGACATTTTTGAGTTTGAATTTCCTGAAGCATCACTTAAAATGTTCTTTTGTCCTCTCTGGTTCCTATCTCCCACATGCATGTCCTTACAAAATGGCATTGATAAGTGCACCTAGTCCAAATGTCCAAAGTCTGAATGTTTTTCATTGACTGAATTTAGACATTTCAGAGTCTAAATGTAGTTCATTTCAAATAAAACCTTTGATTTCAGACCACTTTGGATTTTCATACCAGGACTGCTCAACTGTTGAAGTCTACATAATATTCTAAAATCCAAAAATAAGAAAAAGAAATACCTCTGAAACTCAAAACATTTCTGACCCAAACATTATGGATCAGGAAAATTCATCCTGGAGTTGGGTCTATAAACTCAACAAATTGTAGGTATTTACTCCAAATCTGCTTTGTAGGCCATAATTTTCTTCCAGAAAGAAGTGGAGAGTATATGGCTCAATCTTTTTTTTTTTTTTTTTTTTAATGTTAGTGGATACTGGATCCAATAATAATTGAGCCTTGCAAAATAACAGCATACTAGTTCTGACCTGTATCTATCAACTGGAATATTTCAAGAAAGGGAAATTCCTCCCCACTTTCTCTTTGGTCACTTGCTCACACAGTTAGGCAGGATGGCCCATTCTTATTTTCGTTATTTCTTTTTCCGATAACAAGTTGGCCCACTGGCATCCTCGGGCAGAGAGTAGATTTAAAATGGATTTTTAGAAACCCACCCCATCATGCGTTTGGGGCTGTGGTCTTCTCCTGGAGTCTGGTTGGGCCTGTGAATTTGCTGATGGATCAAGGAGAGTGGGAGGCTAGAGAGATGGCTCAGGAGTTCAGATCCTCAGCTGTGTAAAATGTTCGGTGTGCTGACACATGCCTGTAATTCTAGGGCAAGGGAAGCAAGAGCAGGATTGATAAGCCTTGCTGGCCAGCCAGTTGGACCAAATGGGTGAGCTCTAGGTTCAACGTAAGCCTCTGTTTCAGAAAATAGAGAGGAAGGTACCCAGTAGAACCTATGTCTGGCTTCCATGTGCATTCATGCACCCATACATGTGTGTTCTCTCTCTCTCTCTCTCTCTCTCTTTCTCTCTCTCTCTCTCTCTCTCTCTCTCTCATACA